GGTGGGCGTGGGGGGCGGAACGTGGGAGTGAGGGGAGGGGGATAGGGGAATCATGGGGGGAAGCAGGCATGCAGCGTCCACTTGGCAGCAGCTAAGGCTCCCCTGTTAAGTAGGCCCATCGATCCCTCACCTTGACAAGCCCTACCCCCTACACCTGAACCCCATCACCGAGCCCCATCTCCCCACACCCAGACCCCATCACCGAGCCCCATCTCCCCACACCCAGACTTCCCCCCCACTGAGCCCTGTTGCCCCTGCACCTGAGCCCCTGTGTATCCAGATCTCCCACTGAGCTGCCCGCACCCAGATGGCCCCACACAGAAACCTCTCACCCCACACCTGGATTCCCCCCCCCCACACACACTATTCCCCTCCACATTTGGATCCTGCTGGGCTGAGCCTGCCCAGCCACACCTGGTGCGCCTGGCGCAGAGGGGCAGGACGCCAGCGTGTTCTGGGGCAGGCCCGGCCCTTGCACTGTGTCAGGGTCAGGTGCAGCCTCTCAGCCAAGTCCCTGTACTGGGGGAGGTGGGGGCTTCAGGGTGATCTCCCACCTCAATGCAGCCAGTGGTCTGTGCTCCCCACTGCCATGCTGGAGCCACATTTTATCGACAAATAAAGTTTTGCAGAATTTTAAAATATTGTGCGCATCATTTTTAGGCACAGAATTCCCTCAGGAGCAGAACATCCTGGGAATGACACAGCTTCAACTTGACTGCACACAGCCTACGCCACACAGTCCTGGGACTGGCTCTCTGCTCCCCTCTGCCCCCAGAGCTGGGCTTGACTCTGCTGGATAGTGGCTGGGGCCATACGGTTCCAGCAGGAACTTACTAACCCTGGCAGCCACCCACTAGCAGCCACTAGCACTGAACAGGGAGGGCCCAGCTGCATTGATAGCTCTGATTCTGACTTGGATCCGAGCCCAAGGGCCAAAGCAAGATGCTCATTAGACCCAAGTGCGTTGGTTTAGGTAGGTTATAGGCAGCCTGTGTCACCCTCTGAGTAGGGAGCCAGTCAAGTCAGGGTGAGGGTTACGTCTGCCTCCCACAAGCTAATCCCTAGGCAAGCTCCTGTCCCTCTCCCTGCAGGTGGGATGTGGTAGCTACAGCCGCCTCTGGGGAAGCGGAGAGAAGAGCTGCAGACAGCTGGCGTCCCCGACAACCCTGGGGCAAGGCAGGAACAGGAACAATCCCTCCACCTGCCAACTCCCCCTCCCAGCCACACTACCAGATAAAAGCGCTGCCAGGCAACCCCTGCACACCATCTGAACAAGTAAACAAAGCACCAGGAGGGCTTTAGGCTACTTATCGGCACAAAAGCGGGGGCAGCGGCTCTTGCCGAGACCGAGCGCGGTACTGGTCACTTCAGAAGCCACCACTCGGCCCTGGACAGAAATAGATCGGAAGGTGGGAGCCTTGTGACAGCACTCACCGAGCCTGTTCTAGCGGGCATTTGCTTGGCCCTGTGTTTCTCCAAGAGGCAGCTCTAGTCACTTGCTCCTTTCATGTTCTCCAGCTACGTTCTCCCCCCCCCATACAGCAGATCCAGCCTCCTGAATGCCAGTATTGCTACGCCCTTGCTATGCCCAGCTGCAGCACTGCAGCTAGGAGCGTTAGGATAGCCCTTCCTCTTAGGAGCAGGAAACGTGAGGCTGGACGGCCCAGTGGCCTGATCTGGGATGGCATAGCCTATGGAAAGGAGATGTCATTCACAAGCGTTGGTCCCCAGTTTAGGCTAGAGACCCTCCCCATGTCACTAAACGGAGAGGCACAATCCAGGCTGATAAGTTTCAGGAATCCCCAGCAAGGGGTGTGCAACACTTTCTAGCACAATAGCTAGTGCAGGAGAACCAGGAAGTGAAACTGGACGGGCTAGTGTCACACGCCAAGCTCAGGGAAACACAAAAGAGTTACATGCAGCATCAGTGGCCAGCCTGAAGAGATCATTTCAGTTCTGATCATGGCTGCGTGCTTCTGCAGCACCTGCAGAGAACTCCTGTCCAGCAGGTAAGTAGCTCACTGACAGATGGGCAAGTCAAGGCTCAGAACGCCAGATCCTCAGCTGCTATCGATTCTCAGAACTGAGGCAATTTATGCCGGCTGAGAGAGAGTTAAAGGTAATGCAAAACAGAACAAAATTGGCCTTTGAGCCCTTGTTTGGCTTCTTTACAACCTTTGAAGGTGGCCTGAAAGGATTTTCATTCAGTTTCTTTGCCTGCGTTTCTTTGCTTAAAACAAAACGCAAAAACAGGAAATTCAGGTCTTCTCTACCTTAGAAAACTATGGCAAGTGAAAAAACAAAAATTAGGTTCTAATCTCACGAGACTGAAAGCAAAGGGAGTTTTAGCCATGACGACAGTAAACGCGCTGTGGGTTACAACTATCTAATTCCAAATGACTAGCAGAATCTCTGGAGAAAAGAAGTCCGTTAAAAATGCACCTTAATTAAAGGAGGGTGTTCTAAGCGCTCAGACATTCCAAAAACCTCCAAAAGATCCTCCAATCAAACTAGATAAGGTGGTTTTGGTTAAAAATATATTAAAACAAGTAAGGGGAAAAAAATTAAGAAAACTAAAACAGACTATGAGGGATAAAAAAGGCCTGACAAAGAAGCCAAAAAGAATGTAAAGCCAATAAAAAAAAATTGTAGTGCCCCTTTAAATATGGGCTCTGGAAGACCAAAGATAGGGAGTGAATTTCAGAACTAAGAAGGCTGCAAGGAGCATGCCCTGCCAGCAACTCCCTTATATAGGTGCTCCAACCTGAGCATACCATATTGATTACAGCTGCACTGGGAAGAGAATCAGCCTCTCTTACATCATGGGTACTAAGCTATAAAGGTCAAAACCATAGCCGGTCTCCACCCAGCAGCTCAGGAAGAAGCCAGGGAGTCATTGGTTATTAACTAATTGTCAATTTGCAAAGTGCTTTGAGATTCTCACCAGGAAGGCATTGTGGAGAGCCAGGTTAATATAACTAAGGGAGGGAAGAATGGGGCAAGCCCAGATCCTCTCATCTGAACCCCTGTTCTTGGGTCGGTTCCAAAGCTGGATGGGCCCTACCAGCCTGGTCTGAGCAGAGGTCAGCTGATTTTATAGAATGGCTACTATCTGGGCTGAGTGAATCACACCGCTGACACCAAAACCTCAGCCCTGATCCCTGTTTTAACCCTCCAAACGCGGTCTCCTCCCGCAGCGTAACTGAGGATGGGAATAGCACATTGCAGCAGTGAGACAGGGAACCGCATCTGTTTTCAAGTGGAGCACGCTGGGCTCTGCTGTCTGAAACACTTCCCAGCGCCAGAGTACACAGAGCAGCAAGCCATGAAACTATCCCCACCAGCAGGACAGATTTCGGGAACCTGTTCTCTTACCACAGCAGTCAGGACCAGGTACTTATCAGCCAGCACAGCTCAGCTCTGACCTAATGCTTTGCATTTGCCCAGGGCCATCACTTCCCAGCCAAGGGTAATCAGGGATAGGCAAGGGGCACAGCACAGTCAGGAATTCCCCTCAGCACTTCCACTTTGTCCACAGGATGCGCCTTGGGGCAGCAGGCCAGCCATAACCAGGGTAATGGCCGCCCCTTCCTGTCCCTCAGCAGTGCCTCAGGGCAGATGAGTGAGTGGAGCGGCAGGCCAATGGGACCCTCTGTCCACAGCTTTTAAAGGGATCGAGCCGGAGCCGCCACATCGATTTATAGATATCGCAGCAAACCCGATGCCGAGCTCTGCCTCCACGTCTCTACTGGATGGGGAGATGAGCTCAGGGATAAGGGCTCTTGGCAGAGGTGAAAGTAAGCCGGTACAGAGGACCGGTAAGAAAAAGTGCAGTAGCTACTGGCAAGAAAATGGAGCACTCTCCCCCTCTCCGACTCCAGCAATATTGAGGGTCCGGGGCCCTGGCTCCACGAATGTTTGGGGCCGGGTCTCCCGCCTGGGCCCACCTGCTGACCCCCGAGTGTGGGTGGCCCCCCTTTGCTGCCCCTCATACACCTCCCTTCCAGTCTCTCTCCCCTGAAGCTCCATGCTGCCTGCCTGCATTAACTGCCACCGCAGGGTCCTAGTGCTGCCCTCCCCCCAACTACTGCCAGGACAGGCTGCCCTTCCCCCTCAGACCCTTTCATTTTCCGGTGGGACCCTCCACCAGTACAGCCACCCCCCCCGCCCGCAGTCACTGCTCTTGCCGCATGCTGGGCAAAGGGCACCACCATCCCCCACCCCCAGTGAGGCTACAGTGAGGGGCAGCAGCAGGGGAGGAGGCACACATGTGATGGCAGCCCCCCCCCCCAGCATGGCACCCACCACAGGGGAGGCGAGGGGGATTCCTGGACCTGAGAGGGGCCCTAGGAGCACATGCAGTGACAGTGGGGGGGTGAGTATGCTGCCATGGGGGGAGAAGAGGGTCCCTACCCCAGAGCTCGCTGCTGCCAGCAGGGAGAGGGCGGGAGGAGGAGGGGAGTCCTCCTCTCCAGTACCAGGGCAGCCTACTTGCACCCCAAATTCATCCCCAGCCCTGCCCCACCCTAGAGTCCACACCCCCAGCCAGAGCCCTCATCCTTCTGTCCTAGCCCTGAGCCTCTCCAACACCCCAAACCCCTCATCTCCAGCCCCAGACAGAGCCCTCATGCCAATGCACCCTAACCCTTTGCCTCAGCCCTGAGTCCCCTCCCACACAAACCCCTCATCCCAGCCTCACCCCTGCACCCCCTCCCTCCGCACCCCCCTCTTATCCCCAAACTCCCTCCCAGAACCTGCACCCCTGTCCTCTGCCCCAGCCCAGGGCCTGCATCCCAGACCTCCTCCCCCACCCAAACTCCCTCCCAGAGCCTTGGGCAGGTGGGGGGGTGGAGCAGAGTTTGGGCAGGGGCAGGTTCTGGGCACCACTAAAATTTCTACAAACCTGCCACCCCTGCCGGCAAGAGCTGGTGCACCATACTGGGGTGGACTGGCTTCCTGAGGCAGCCATTTAAAGCTGTAGCCCAGGGCCCTTTAAACTGCCACCAGAGCCCCGCTGGAGAGCCCTGGGGGAACGGCAGCGGCGCTTGAGTGGTGATTTAAAGGGCCCAGGGCTCCTGCCGCCGCTACCGCCCTGGGCCCTTTAAATCGCCGCTAGAGCCCCACTGCCACTACCCCAGGGCTCCAGGGACAATTTAAAGGGCCCGGGCCCTTTAAATAGCCCCCAGAGCCTGCCGGAGTCCTGGGGTAGTGGTAGCAGAGCTCTGGTAGCTATTGAAAGGGTTCGGGGCTCCTGCTGCCTCTAGCACCCCGGGCCCTTTAAATAGCTACTGAAGACCTGCCGCCGCCGCCACCCCAGGGCTCCAGCAGCAGGGCTCCAGAGACAATTTAAAGGGCCCTGGAGGGTAGTGGCAGCCGGAGCCCCGCCCCCTTTAAATCACCCCCAAACCCCAGGGCTCCCAGACACCTCTGCAGCTGGGAGCTCAGGGGGTGATTTAAAGGGCTTGGGGCTCCCAGCTGCTGCTACCACAGCCCTAGCCCCGGGCCCTTTAAATCCTGATTTAAAGGGCCTTGGGGTTTAAAGGCCCTGCCTCTTCCAGTGGAGGCCACGCCCCTCCTCAGGACTCCGGAGTACCAGCAAGTCCTTTAAGTTCCTTTCACCCCTAGCTCTCGGGCCAGGACAGACCTGGGCCCACAGCCTTCTGGTGCCCAGCATGGCAGCTCCCTGCTTTTCCAGGCCTCCCCTGCTGTGTATTTCAAGCAGCAAGGCGGGGGAAGAGTGTTTGTGTGGGGAGCGGGGGGATTAACCCTTTGACTTCTGAAGTAAAATGCCTGTTATTTCCCTCTCAACCAAACACCCCCTTTCCCCACATCACAGCTGCCCTCCTTCCGGCCTGGGCACAGCACCCTCCCGCAACACGGCTCCCACAGCGCCCAGACAGGCTGCGACAGCCAGACAAGGAGGGGCCCCCTTGCACCAGCAGCTGCCTCACACACACACACACACACACACACACTCCTTGGCATGGCCTCCTCCCTAGGGGCATCCAGCTCCAGCCCCCCTAAGTCCAGACTGAACCCCGCCAGGTCCTGTGTCCAGGCAGCACGTTGGGCACGGGGGGGTGGGGTCGAGGAGGGGGTTACAATGGACTACACGCACACTTCCCTAACCATGCTGAGGAGAGCAGCAGCCCCCTGCTCTAGGCCTTCCTGTCCTGCAGCATGCCTAAAAAAACAAAAAAACAAACCCACCCACAGAGCCAGGGGATCTGTGCGATTCTCCCTCAGCACCACTGGCCCCGCACAAGCCTCCTTCCCAGCCAATTTCCCAGCCCTGCCAGGCTTCACCCTAAGGAAGCAAGGGGCAGAGTCTTATTTTGGGTGGTCTCCAGGGGCAGCTAAAACAGATTATTTTAGCCTCATTTCTCTTGCATTTCCTCCCCCCCCTCCCCACACACACACCCCTGCTGCTTCCCTGCAGCCACAGCCAAAGATAAAAGTCTCAGTCTTCGGATGCTCCAGTGTGACCTTTTCTAGCAATGTCCAGTATTTAGTAAGAGGAGGCTGGGGAGAGCATGAGGGAGGCTGAAGGCCTATTACAGAAGCACAGCCTGCTAGATCCCCACCATTATCTCTTAGCAGAGGGTCTCTGAAGTGGCTTCACAGCCAGGGCAGGGAGGAATCGCTCCTGAACCAGCCGTGTCAGAGCAGTCACGTGATAAGCATCAACGCTCATTTATAATCACGCTACCACTTGAGTATTGATAACGGAACCAGGGCGTTGCGTGCCTCCAAGAGAGGAGACGGGCAGTGAGTGGGCATGACCACAACCCCTTCGGCTCTGGGGCAGGAGCTGCGGGTCTGGGGGACTTGGTATGATGCAGGCGGAATTAGGACACTGCTGGAAAAGACCATGTGGCTAGGCTGCCTAGAGGGAGCCCAGAGGCTGGAAGGCGGTGAAGAAGAGAACTCTGGGTAGGATCAGACTAGTAAGGAGAAGAGCTCCCTGCCCAGAGACTGTACAGTTAGAAGCCCAGAGGCTGCTGTCAGATTGGTGTGGGTGGCCCTGGGTGCCTGTATACAGGCTAGCTGACTTCAGCAGGGCTCTGTGTGGTGGCACGTGCCCATCCGTGTGGCTTCAGGCTGGGAAAGCAGACGGCAGAACATGTGGTGCCAAGATACACTGCAGCTTGGTTTTATGGTCACTCTTGCTCGGTTGCCTGGGTTTAGTCCCCTCCATCGGCTTACCCCAGCCTCTCTCCTGGCCTTCCCCACTCCCATCCTCCAATATCAACTTCCTCTCTGCCTCTTCACCCAGCCTCACCCCGCTCAACACAAGAGCTTTCTCCCCTGCAGCCTGCCTGACTCTCCATTACAGACGACTCCCCCCTCACCCCCGCTCTCCACGGCCTGGGGGATACTTGAGCATTCACAGCCACCGCTTTAAACCACTGCTCCATGCTTGTGTGCGATGGGGTGCAGCCGGCCTGGGCCGTGCTGACCAGAACGCACACAGGATGATATTGTACTCACTGCGAGGAAGACAACGAGCGACCAGCAGACCAGGTTCCTCTTCATCCTGAGGGCTGACGACGGCAACAAGCCACGGAACGAACCTGCTGGGACAAGGAACAGGAGGGTCACGGTGAGTCAGCCTTCCTCCGTGGCTAGTTCAGTATCCAGCAGGATGGATGCACCTTGGCACCCTCATTACAAACCCGGATTTACCTCCAGCCCACACACAGGCCTGCTGTCCTGCTTATCCCTGAAAGTTATGGGGAGCCGACGAGAAGCCTTAGAAACCTGGGGTTAGTTAAAGGAAAGAAACCCACAACCAGACAGGCTTCCTCCAACAGCGCGCGTCCCCTTGCCTTTGGGTCTGTGCCCTGCAGCAGAGTCTGGAAGGGTTGCCAGTGATGTACAGCAGCCCTGGAACCTAAGTGGGAAAATCACGGGCCATAACTATCAGCCTCAATGGATCTGTGCCCACTTATGTCAGCAGCGCTAGATTTACAGATTGGTCCTATATTTAAAACCTGCCTCTTCCCTTCCCCCCCCCCCGACATATCTGGGTAGTTACAGACCCCCATTCTTATCATGCCTTGTAGAACAGAAAACCTCCCCCATCAAAATGGGCAGGGAAGAAGAGAGACAAGGGGGAAAGCAGTTCCACTGGACAGTCATATGCCTGGTTTGCCTTGCTAGTCCAGAAATTTCTCCTACAAAGTTCTCCAGCCTCTCCCTGCAGGGCTGCAGCTTTAGAAAGCCTCACGTCTAGTTTCCAAAGCCACCAGCAAGGACTTCCATGCGGACTGACGCGTAAGGAGCTTGATGCAGTTAAAGCGAGCCTGGCCTTAGAACGATTTTAAAGAATGATGCATTAGACGTTAATTGTCTCTACAGAGCCCGCAATTAAATGCCCAGAGACCTGCACTCATTTAATAGGATTGATTTGGTGAATCCGTCTGTCAAACGTTACATTACAAGGCATTATTTCATTGCTAGCAGTGCATTGTGGGACTGCGTGTTGCTGTAAAGAGTTCTCTGGAGCGCCACGGGGATTAAGATTGGAGCCAGGGGCAAAGGAGGCACAAGCAGGGGACAGAAGCCAGTTGGCTTCAAAGTCAAACGGGAGTTTTGCCATTGACTTCAACAGGGCCAAGATTTCACTGCATCTTGAGGAGGTTTGCTTCAGAACGCTGAGCACAGCTGAAGCTTTGTGATTGGCCGCTAGCAAGGTCACACGCTTCCAGTACCTTGTAAAGATGCCCACGTCAAGCCATTTCCCTTATTTCACCTCTAAATTTCACCCCAGGAAAGTGACTGTGCTGCCTCTCAGTCCCATCTCAGAGCTACAACTGCACTTTCCTGGATGGTTAGAGTCACGTGGCTTCCGACCTCTTGCTCAGCATCTGCTACTGGCCCCAGAAATTCTGCTCATCAGGTGTTCCCTGCTCAATCTTCCTGAATTTGCAGGCAGGCTTGGCAGAGGCTAGAGACTCAGACAAGAGGGGACTGGTGGCACAAGCTAATGCAAGGAGACCCTCCAGCTCTTAGAGGCAGGGTGTCTGGTTCGGCTTAGGCTGCATGTGACCTATTCTGATGGTCTCTCGTCAGCCCACCTCACAGAAGGCTGGTCTGACTGGCCTGTAGCTGCTCCAGGAGTCTGGAGCTCAGTTGTTCGCTCTGGCAAAACTAAGCCAGGGAAACGGAGGTCAGATTGGTAGGCAGGGAGCACAGATGGGGAGGTCGATGTGTGTCATTTATAGAAACCCAGGAGTCAGGCAGCACTATCGACAGGGATCGCCTACCCTGAGCAAATAGTCTGCCCTCAGATTTGCACTTTATTAGTGTCACGGCAATGCCAATAGCAATACCAATCATGGCCCCATTGTGCTGTACAGACAATTCATAATTGGAATTGGTTAGGGTTACCATTCGTCCGGATTTACCCGGACATGTCCTCCTTTTTGTGCTAAAAATAGCGTCCGGGGGGAATTTGTAAAGCACTCACAATGTCCGGGATTTCCCCCTCCCCCGGCACAGCAGAGCGAGCGGCTGCGAGGACTGCAGGAAAGTCCCGGGCTGGACTCCGGAGCAGCTGGAGAGGTTCTCCAACCTGCATTCTGAGCAAG